GCCATAGGATCTAGCAGTTACCATGACATTGCAAACTACTCTGTATTGGGGTTGAGGAGGACATACTTTTTGGCTTCCCATGATGCATTAGTTCTTCCTAACTATGATTGTGTATTCCCATGGCAGTTAATAAATCATACATGCTTAAATTGCATCTACACTTAAGAGATGCAATACCTCTGCTACAAGCACTCAAAGATCATTCTGCTGTTCTAATAGGCAATTTAAGCCATTACTAGTAATTGGAGAACAATAGCTGAGTAAGAAAAGAATACAAAGTGTGTCTGAAATTAAAATACAGTGGATCAAATGAAATAATATGAAAACATTTTAAACCTGAATATTTTATATGCAGATGCAAATTCTCATAACATTTTCCATCACAGATACATATATTCTTTTTAAAGTAATGGACATTTAATCTCGATAGAAGTTTTTTTAGGAAATAGCATTCCATTAATTTAAGTCTTTTTTTATATAAAATGAGGGTAATGCAATCTATGTAACTCCAAATATAAGAACTAGTGTTTTCAATTCTAAGGACGAAAAATGCTGAACAAATGTAAAAATATACTCACATCTAAAGATAACTATATCTTTGGTTCAATCTTATGATAGGAATTCTCTTAAAATGTTTCAAAATTTTGTTTATTTTTTTATGGGGGTGGTGAGACAAGTTCTCTCTATGTAGTTCAGGCTGGTCTTGAACTCACTATGTAGCCCAGGCTGGCCTTGAACTCACGGCAATCCTCCTGCTTCAGCCTCCCCAGAGCTGGGATCACAGGTGTGCATCACCACGCACAGCTAAAATGTTTCAAAAAATCTTATACCATGACTTACAAAAAGCTTCTAAATCATTCTTCCAATATATAAAATTTAAATATTAACAAAAACTGTTCATTTAAACTTGTGCCACCCGCATCAAATACTCTCTGTGGTCCCTGGTGGAGCTCTAAGGAGGAAGTAATAAAATAACCAACAATTCAATAGAGTAACCACAAATGAAGGACATCTGCATATAAATTATCTACCTTAAGATAAATTGCAAGAAGCAAATTATTATATTGTCAGTAATAGTCAACTAGAAAGTGGAAAATAAAGAAAAATACCCAAATCAAACCTCAAAAACAATCACCACAACTTTACAATGCTCCTTCTATCATTACAAAAAGTTATGGAAATTTAATTTAAAATTTTTATTTTGAGTATCATAATTAAAAACTTTACAATTCAACATAAACTGTCATACCTATCACTGTATAGACTCATTTTTTAAAGGTATCTCAGATCTAGATGTCAATACTTTCCTGCCAGTAGCTTTAACAAAAAACACTTTCTCTTGTGGATCAAGTAAAACAGTAAATCACATGATGATTTAAGAAAAAACAGGGAATTTCTAGAATAAATGATAGTAAAAGTAGTGGTAAATGAAGTGTTGAAGACATTCAATTTATCCTTACCCTGGATAAAATAGACTAAGCAGTACAATCAATTTACAGTATATAAAAAGAAAGATTTTTGTTTCAAATGTGTTAATATGGCTATCCAGCCTCAACTGGTGTAATGATATCCTTGCTTATAAACTTTCACTTGTTGTGGGGTTTGGGGTTTTTTGGCTTTTTGAACAGGGTCTCGCTATGTATTCCAGGTTGGCCTTAAACTCATTATGTACCATAGGCTGGCCTCCAATTCACTGTGAACCTCCAGCCTCAGCCTCCCAAGTGCTGGTATTACAGGCACATGCCACCAGGCTCAGCTAATCTTTCACTTTAATCTTTTAACTTTTAACTTTAATTATAGACTTGTATTCCTTCCACTTCATACCTCAAACTGCTGTATAATTTAATGCCAGATAAATCAAGATTATTAATACTTTGCTCTAAATTTCAATATAAAACATGTAGCTAAATCTAAGATTATACTGTATAAATCCATTGTTCTGATAAGAGCACTTTTAAAATACCTACCCCAAGAAAAAATATTTCATCTCTCTCACAACGAAGCCGCGATGAGGGCACATGTGAAATAAGTGTAATCAACAATACAACTGATGAATCTAGTAATTTATTATTGCTAGATTCTGCACATTCTTTTCTTAGGCTCTACACTCCATTTCCTTCTGTTCAGATTCCCACTCAACCCTGTCCCATCTTCCTTTAGAAAGAAATCAATAGGTAGAAAACAGACATTTGACTTAAAATACCATGGTATTAAAAACTGGTATGTCTTGGCCCAGGATTTAGTTCAGTGGTGCCGCGCCTACCTGGCAAGCGCAAAGTCCTGAGTTTGATCCCCGGTACCAAAAAAAAAACCTGGCATGTTTTGAAAACTCTGGGTTTGATATAGAAAGATAAAAACCTAAGTGAACAATATAAAAATTAAATGAAAAACAAAAAAGGTACACTATTTATCTAAAGTATACACAATGTTCAAACTACAGAAGAAACTCTGTATTTAAAAATTTTAAATGGACAAGGGCTACAGGTGTAGCTCAGCAGTACAGCATTTGCCTAGCATGCACAAGATCCTGAATCAATATCCAGCACTGGAAAAAAAAAAGTTTAAGGAAATATAAAAACAGAAAAGAATCAGTAAGTAAATACAAAGATAAAAGGTTAAAATCAAGCTTATGTAAGGATACAAATCCATTCAGAATTTACAATCTGGTTAAAAGTTAAACCTCATTAAAATGAAAAAAGGGCTATTTACACCTATGAAAAGCAAGAAAAGATTCAAACAAAATAACAACAAAAATCTCACACTAAGACAGGCATGGTGGCACACACCTGTAGTCCCAGAGCTCAAGAGGCTGAGGCAGAAGGACTTCTGTGAGTTCGAGGCCAGCCTGGGCTACATAGTGAGTGTAAAAAAAAAAAAAAAAAAAAACTTACACTAAGTTCCTAGATGTTGACATTATAAATGAGTACAATCTTCTGGAGAACAATATGACATTTGACAAAAGCTATAAAACTAATTAGCCCTTTTGAGTTGACAAATCCACTTTAGGAAATAAAGTCCAAGAAAGTAACTTCCCAGGTAGAGGGCAGAAAAATACCACCTAATTAGGCAAAGACCTTAGTAAAAAAACTGCTCAGTGGGAAGTTGGGATCAAATTAAAACATCTTAAATACAACTGCACTTTTTCTTATCATTAAAATAATGATGACTATTCAAATTCATAGTTATGTATATGTAAAAGTATTAAGTCAGAAAAATATAAAGCATAAAATGGACATTGGTTATAATTATGTGAAAATTTGCCTTTACAACAAAAAGAAAGGAAAAGTCTAGTAAACTGGATTTTTTATTTTGTGGTGAGAAGACTATTTTTAATTACTTTAATGTTCCATCAAGTTAGTTTAAAAAACTATTTTTCCTTTAAGTCTCACTTTACAGTTCGCTTAAAAATGGTCAGCCCGCATGCACTTATAGACTTTTAAGAGGGACAAATGGAGGGCTGGGGGTTTAGCTTAGTGGTTTCACCACCTGCTGCACAAGTGCAAGGACGCGAGTCCAATCCCCGGCACCGGGAGAAAAAAAAAAAGGACAAATGGAAACAAAAGCTACTTCAGTATTAAATTTTTATCTTCAATACCGTATCAGTAATTAATTGTTAAGACATATTAGCAAGCACTGTTGTTTTTGCCTTTTAGGAGGCAAACAAGACTTAGGTCCATCAAAAAGTCTGACAAATTAAATAAGCTGATAATACAGTTCTTCAAAAATTTTTTTCCATCAGACAAATTATTATCATTAATAGTACAAATGGTCAAGTTTGCCCTTATCAAGACTATTATACCATTTCTGTGATTTGTAAAAATATAAGAAAAACATCTGATAATTAACATTACCTTAATGTTATAATATACAAAGAGAAATACCAAAATGAACACCAAAGCAAGTTAAATACTCGATGCAAGCAAATTTTAAATCATTTTGTTTATATTTAGTCTACTGTACTTCTCCAACTTTCTGTAACTTATTTGATTTTCCTCATTTGAACTTTATTTGAAGATAGCTGATTTAGATTTTAGTATCAACCCTTTCTCCTTTCATTACCATATAATTCTCTATGCCTGTGATTAAACCAAGAGAACCTTCTACCCAAAATAAAAAGGACCTTTTTATCAATGCTGAACAGAAGGTGCATTTACATTATAACTTATATTTTCAAGAGGAACAACAGTCAATCCAATACCTTTGGTCTTTTACTAAAGTATATTCTATTTTAAAATAAGTCCATTGTTGTCTCCTCGTAAAATCGTGCTGGTCAATTTTTTAAAAGATCATAATCCATAGTTTTTATTTCATCAAATGCATCTATACAAATACGATTTACTTATGATTTAATGAGTTGTTTTTCCAAGATCTGAAATATTAAACGATATGCTTTTATTCAGTAATTTATTATCTAAAACTGGCAAATTTGGAATTCGCTCAGTGTTCCTTATTATTTTTAACTGTGCCGTTTTTCCCAGTCTGTGGTCCGTCAACTCCCCTGCTGAGCCCGTTCTCTCCCTTAAAAAAAAAAAAAAAAAAAACCAAGCCTGGCCTCAGTTCCCGTATTTCAAGCCAGGACCAACCAGAAAACAGTTTTCTTCCACTAATCCGGAACTCCAGGCTGTTACCAACGCTGCTATTGGCCAGCGTCAATCCTTGGTACGTGCCCCAAGATAACCCCCAGATTTCTCTCTTTTCCTCCTACAATGGGCCTTCCTCGATGTTTGCATCATACTCATAATCCACAACACCGCACTTCTGATAATCAACTCACATTCTTCAAAGTTTTAGGGTGGAAACAAGCGAGGCCAAGAGCGGAGGGGGGAGGTACCCTTTCTCCAACTCGCGGGGAGGGGGAAGGGGCAGTCATTCTCCACCTCAGCAACAAGCTCGGGAGCCTTGTCGACTGAGGGCGGAGGTGGGGGGGAGATATTAGAGGTACAAGGTGGGCAGGGAGTAGAGAATGAGTTGGTTTAAGTTGAAATGAAAACTTTACTCACCAGATCCTCAAAGCTTCTTCGGTGCTCTTTCCCCTCCCAGTCCAGGCGGCGCGGAATCAGCTGGGAGCCGCAGGAAAAGAAAGGGGGGGCGGTCAAAGGATGTAAGCGAAGCCTCTGCTCCCATCAGTCGGACCCAGTCTGGGTCCAGGTCCTCGACCCTTTGCAGTCTTTATTTTTTCTTATCCCAATAGCAATTGCCAAGGGAGGCCGGAGGGAGGGTATCCTTAAAAACCGCCTCCCATAAACATAAAGAGGGGGCGAGTTAAGAGCCTAGGGTCATCCACCCCTTTTGAGGGAAGAAAACAGTTCACCCTGGTGACAACAGCTATGGGTGTCCAGATCGAAGCCACCTTCCCAACCCCTGCCCTCCGCCCTAGACTTGCCCTCCCCTTCCTCCAGTCTCACCCCAGTCCTCCCCATCCCTTCCCAAAGGGGCCCCGTACCTGATGCTCCTCGAGCTCCTGCACTAGCACCTGAGCAAAAGGGAAACACAGACATGAAGAGCAGCTCCGACCATCAACCCATTCCTCCCTCCCCAATACGAATCCAGTCGCTGAATGTAGTACTAGTCAAGGCCGGCCTTTCCCTCAACCTCAAAGAACCGGTCACCCCGCTGCCTCTATTCCCCCACTGGGACCATTCCCCAGGACTCCCAGGTCTCTTCCCTCTCACCTGAGCGGATTTGTTGCAGGGTCCAGACTGCAAGAACCTAGCGATCAGGTAATACAGCTCTGAGGAAGAGGAGGGAAATGAGGTTGAGAGAGACGCAAAGAAGAGAAATAGAAGCTTTTTCAAAAGACACTGACAGCCGCGGCACTAAGCCCCCTTCCCCATATCCTCGGGACACAGCTACCCACCGGCTTCTATCTGGGTAGGTGCCGCCGCCATCCTTTTCCCAAGGGGGTTTGGGGTTTTGCTCTGGAGGGCTGACGGGGGCGCTGCTTCTATTGTAGTGAAGCCCCCATGTCTGGAAGTCCTGCTGCTTCCGCCACACTCCTCGTCCCAGTTTCGGTCTCCCTCGGATTCATCGCATCACGTTTCGACCCATAGATATTCTAGCCCAGGAGCTGAAGAGGCGGAGGAGGAAGGAGAGCTAGAGAGAGAAGAGGAGGGAGGAGTCGAAATCACAGAGGGGTGGGCGGGGGCAAAGGGGGTGGAGAGAGGAAGGTAAAAACGGTGAAACCGGATTGCAGCGCTCGCTGTTTGCCACCAGAGGCACTAACACAGCCTTCTGGCTTCTGCTCTCCCTAAGGGCCTACAGTTGCCTAGCTACAGTTCTGGGAAGGAGGAGGCGGTCTAACTGATGGCCGACGCTCTGGCAACCGCCATAGAACTCTGTGGTGGCGTTGGCTTCCGCAAGCTCCGGATTGGCTTGTCCTTCCTGTGAGGGCAGTCGGGCTGTTTCCTGTAAAGGACCCTTACCCCTGAGGTGATCTTGAGAAATTTTTGAGGGGCTGACTTGACTCTACTGCTTCCTTCAAACACTAAGAATTTGTTTTGTTTCTCCTATTTTTGTACCAAATGAAAATGCTGTACTTACCGGAGTCCTACACTAATATTGTTACAGAAGACTACTTAAAAATATCTTCCGGTGCTGAAAAGTTCCTGAGAATTTTGCAGTCAGCCTTGAAGCATTTTCCCCCTTCTGAAAGTTCAACATAAACTATATCTTATTCCCATAGGCTAGTTTTCTATTGTGTTTTCAAATATTGCCAAAGTACATTAGCCAAGGATTTTTTTTTTTTTTTGAGACAGGTTCTTGCCAAGTAGCCAAGGCTCGCCACAAGTTCACCATCCTCCTGTCTCCCCCCGGGGGGGGGGGGGGGGCTGCAAAGGTGGGCCACCAGAACCAACAAACCAAGGATTTTTAAATATTGCATGCCCATCAGAAATCGGATATACAGTAGAAGACAGCTCTCTACAGGTTCAATACTACATTTATTTATTTAATATATCAGAACAGCATTGACTGTTACTAATAGGCTACTTAAACTTTAAGTGATCAAAAAGTTTGTATAATAATTGACACATATAGTAAGCTGAACCTTTTTCCTTCCCTTCTCACCCCATGCCTTGACCAGAAGAATAGAAACTGAACCTGATAAAAATAGAAATGGTGTTTGACTTGTATATATTGCTTACATTGTAATTTACATCACAACTGTTTTTAAATCTGAAGGGTCACCTTTTAAATTTAGGGCTTTATTAGGAATTTGGTTTCCTCATTCAGAGCTGCACCATTACTGGGCATGGTGGCACAGGTCTGTAATTCCAGCACTTGGGAGGCTGAGGAAGGAGGATCCCTGAGTTTGAGGTCAGCATGAATTGCATGGTGAGACCCTATTTCAAAAAACAGCAACAAAAACCTAGATGTGCCATTGACCAAAGTGGGCCTAAAAATCCATTAAGCTGACATGAACTTAGCCTAAATTCACTGCTGTGCTCTGTATCTATCTGTCTATATTTTTTCCTTCAGAAATTAATAACCAGGCCGGGTGTGGTGGCACAGGCCTGTAATCCCAGCACTTGGGAGGCTGAAGCAGGATTGCTGTGAGTTCGAGGGTTCAAGGCCACCCTGAGCTACATAGTGAGTTCAAGGCCAGCCTGAACTACATAGCCAGACCCTGTCTCAAAAAACAAAAAAGAAAAAAAAAAAGCGATAGCCATATGAGGTTATTTGGTAATGATATGTTTATCTTTGTTATGTGTTATGCTACAGTACTTAAAAACCAAATATCATTAACTGAAAAAGTTAAATAATGAGATATATGCTACCCAAGTAATTGCTAGTGCTTTAGCAAAATGCCAGAATGAATACATTTTTCTTTTTTTTCTCTCTTTTTTTTTTTTTGAGACAGGGTCTGGCTATGTAGTTCAGACTGGCCTTGAACTCACTATGTAGCCCAGGGTGGCCTTGAACCCTGGAACTCACAGCAATCCTGCCTCAGCCTCCCAAGTGCTAGGACTATAGGCGTGCACCATCACAACTGGCCTGAATAATTTTTATAGTTCAAATATAATTAACATTTATCAAGTTATTACCATGACAAAACACTTTACTTGCTTTAACTCAATCCTTACAATGACCCTAGAAGGTAGATTATATTGTTATTCTCATTATACAGATAATAAAAATGACTATTTCTTAGGACTACTCACATTCTGTATACCTTATTCCTCACTTGTATAATGTGAGTAATAAATAGTACATGCCATGTTTACTTCACAAGAATTGCTGTAAAAGTCATGTAAGAATATATCTGTGTCCTATTTCAAAATTTATGTGAGAGTATTATTCCAGTGACTAATTCTTTACCAGTCTGGGTGCAATCAAGAGAGAAAAAGCACACAATAACTTGAACAGTAGAAGTTTTAAAGTTAACAATTAGCTGGGCATTGGGCTGGGGATTTAGCTCAGTGGTTTCACTGCCTGCTTTGCAAGCGCAAGGACCCGAGTTCGATCGCCAGTACCAAAAAAAAAAAAAGAATTAGCTGGGCATGGTGGTGCATGCCTGTAATCCTTGGGAGGCTGAAGCGGGAGGATCCGTGTGAGGTCAAGGCTAGCCTGGACTAGATAGTGAATTTAAGGCTAGCCTGAACTACATAGTAAGACCCTGTCTCTAAAAATAAATAAATAAATA